ATTTGGAAAACTATATCAAAAGATTGTAATGAAAATGTTATAGCTATCCCCCCTTATTCTTGGCTCCAATAAAATGTTCAGTTTTAATATACTGTAGTGTAATTTATTAGACTTCACATTCCATCATATTAATTATTTTTGTTCAAATAAATAATAAATATCCTTGCTTAATCACAATTAGTAATCTTTCTTTCCTACTTTGCCCTAGAAACTAAGCTGAAAGAGAGTGATTTGAGAGGTTTTTGTTCAAAGGCGTACAATATGGTAATAGGCACAGCTGGCAGCTTTTTTTTAAATCCTTAAATTAGTATTAAAAAAGCAAAAATGTGCAGTTTTTTTAAATAAAAATTGAAAAAAATTTCAGTATAGCTTAATATAGATTTTAAAATACAGTTCTATCTTCTAAATGGTCTCATCTTTCATCTCCTCAGAATCATAAAACTTGGCTTTTAAGTGGGATATTGTGCATGAATAGGCCCTGAGCGGAAAGCTGTGGCCCAGCAGGCGTAGTATAAATTACATATGCTTTGCCTCTCTTCATTTAGGAGACCTGTGTTTTTAGCTTGTTTTAGTTAGGTGTCTAACTTCTCCAAGCCACAGAGTAGAAAAATACATTTTTAAAAGGACTATCATCCGAGGATAAAGGACTATTAAAGGACTATTATCCAAAATATGCAAGGAACCCTTAATACTCAGCAATAAGAAAATGAAAAACCCCATTAAAAATTGGGCAAAAGACCTGAAAAGATATCTCACCCAAGAAGATACACAGTATCTTAGTTTGGGCTCTTGTAACAAAAGACCATAGACTAGGTGGCTTAAACAACAGATAGTCATTTCGCACAGTTTTTGAAGCAGAGAAGTCTAAGATCATGGTGCTGGTAGATTGATTTCCTTTCTCTTCCGAGCTTGTAGGAGGTCGCCTTCTTGCTATGTCCTTACCATGGCAGAAAGAGAGCTTTGGTCTCTCTTCTTTTTATTAAGGACACCAATCCTGTCACAGGGACCCCACTCTTAGGACCTCATCTAAATCTAATTACCTCCCAAAGCCCCACCTCCAAATACTATCATATTGGAGGTTAGGGCTGCAACATATAAATTTTGGGGGGACACATGCAGTCTATACATTCCACCCTTTTGCTCCTCAAATTCATGTCCTTCTTGTATGCAAAATATACTTTGATTTCATCCCAACAACCCCCTGAAGTCTCAGCTCATTCCAGCATCAACTCTAAAGTCTCATCTAAATATCAGTTAAATCAGATATGGGTGGCACTTGTATGTTCATCCTGAGACAAAATGTCTTTCCAACTGTGAACCTATTTAACCAGATAAGTTATGTGCTTCCAAAACACAATGGGGAAACTGACAGAGCATAGACATTCCCATTTGAAAGGGGAGAAAATTAGAGGAAAAAAGGGGTGACAAGTTCTAAGCAAGTCTTCAAAATCTAGCAAGGTAAATACTATTAGATCTTAAGGCTCAAGTGTAATCCTCCTTGGTTTGATGCTCTTCTACCTTCAGGACCCACTGGGCCAGACAGTCTTGCCCCAAGGCTCTTTCATGGCTGCTGTCATTATCCTTAATGTCTATATCTCTTCCAGCCTCTACCCCTTACACAGTTCCAAAGCCACTTCTATCTTTGTAGGTGTTTGTTACAGCAACACCCACTTTTTAGTACCACACTCTGTTTTAGCTTGGGCTGCTACAAAACAAAACAAAAAAACAGAACAGAAAACACAGACTGGGTGGCTTAAATAACACATTTATTTCTCATGGTTTTGGAGTCTGGGTAGTCTAAGATCAAGGTGCTGGTAGATTCAGTTCCTGGTGAGGACCCTCTTCCTCACTTGCAGATGCTGCCTTCTCACTTTGTTCTCACGGGACCGGGAGCGAGAAAGAGAGCTCTGGTCTCTGCTCATAAGGACACTAATCCCATCATGGGGGGCCCTACCTTCAGGACCTCATCTAAATCTAATTGTCTTCCAACAGCCCCACCTCCAAATATAACCACATTGAAAATTAGTGCTTCAACACTGAATTTTGGGAGGATACATTTTGTCCCTAATATACAGATAGCAAGTAGTATATGAAAGATGCTTAACATATATCATCAGAGAATTGTAAATTAAAACAAGATACCACTGTACACCTATTAGGATGGTGAAAATCCAAAAACCTGACAGCAGCACATGCTAGTGAGGATGTGGAACAACAGGAACTCATTCACAGCTGGTGGGAATGCAAAATAGTATAGATAGTTTGGCAGCCTCTTAACAAAACTAAGCATGCTCTTACCATACAATCCAGCATTCCTACGCCTTGTAATTGACTCAAATGGGCTGAAAACTTAGGTTCACACAAAACCTGCACACGGATGTTTATAGTTGTTTTACTCATAATTGCCCAAACTTGGAAGCAACCAAGATGTCCTTTAGTAGGTGAATGGATAAATTTGTGTTGCATCCAGAAAATGGAATAATGTTCAATGCTAAAAAGAAATGTTCTATCAAGCCATGAAAAGACATGGAGTAACCTTAAATGCATATTATTAAGTGAAAGAGGCCAATCCAAATAGGCTACGTACTGTGTGATTCCAACTATACAACATTCTGGAAAAGGAACAACTGTGGAGACAGTAAAAAGATCAGTGGTTGCCAGTGGTTAGGGGAGGGAGGGATGAATAGGTAGAGTACAAAGGATTTTTAAGACCATAAAATAATTGATACAATAATGGTATATACATGTCATTATACATTTGTCAAACCCCATGAAATGTACAACATCAAGAATGAATTTTTTTTTTAAAGATTTTATTCATTTATTTGACAGAGAGAGACACAGCGAGGGAGGGAACACAAGCAGGGGCGGGTGGGAGAGGGAAAAGCAGGCTTCCCAAGGATCGGGGAACCCGATTCGGGGCTTGATCCCAGGACCCTGGGATCATGACCTGAGCCGAAGGCAGACGCTTAATGACTGAGCCACCCAGGCGCCCCGAGAAGGAATCTTATTTTAACCTCTGGCCTGCGGGTGCTCATGATGTGTCAAGTAGGATCATCAGTTGTAACAAATCTACCGCTTTGGTGGGAGATACTGATAATTGGTAGGCTTGTATATGTATGGGGGCAGGAAGTATATGGAAACTCTGTACTTTCCACTCAGTTTTGCTGTGAGCCTAAAACTGCTCTAAAAAAATAAAATCTGTTTTTAAAAAATTCTTATAATGGAAAAAAAGGCTCATATTAGCTATCAGGCCAGGTTTTCTACTACCAGCTGGTGTACTGCAATTCAATTCTGATACTAACCACCCTGAAATAGCATCAGACTCCACAGCTGTAAGGGCATGGTTCCCAACCAGATTGCCACCACTTTAGACACCAGCTGCAAGTTAGGTCCCCAGGCTACCCACACTTCTGGTCAACTAGCTGCAAATCCAGGGGCTTTCTAAACCCCCCTCCTCCCACCACCACACTTTCCTTCAGATGCCAGTTGCAAGTTTAGAGGTCTCCAGGCCATCTATACTTCTGACCAATTGGCTATAAATCTGGGGTTCTTGTGATCCTTCTCAGTTTCAGTAATTTGCTAGAATGAGTTAACTCAGGGAAGTGCTATACTTAGGATTACAGTTTTATTGTAAACAACATAAATTGGGACTAGCTAAATGAAGACAACACGTTAAGTTGAGGTCTGGGAGGGTCCTGAGTATAGAATCTTGTGCCCTCTCCCTATAGAATCAGGGCACATCACTCTCCTGGCACATCAATGGGTTAACCAACCAGGAAGCACCCCTGTGCTTCTGTTTCCAGAGTTTTTTTTGACATTTCATGACACAGGCATGATTGATTGAACATTGGCCTATATGATTGAACTAAATTTCCAGCCTTTCCCTTCTCTCCGGGGGTTGGCTGGGCCAAAGTCCCTAATCACATATAGTCTTTCTGGTGACTAGCCCCTATCCTGGGCGGTCTCTAGCAGAAACTCCAGCGTGTGAATCAAGGAGCTTATAAAAAACAAATACACTCCTGTCTTTGGAGAAATTCCAAGGGTTTTATTTTATTTATTTATTTATTTTTTAAAGATTTTATTTATTTGAGAGAGAGAGAATGAGAGAGAGAGAGCACGAGAGGCGGGAGGGTCAGAGGGAGAAGCAGACTCCCTGCCGAGCAGGGAGCCCGATGCGGGACTCGATCCCGGGACTCCAGGATCATGACCTGAGCCGAAGGCAGTCGCTTAACCAACTGAGCCACCCAGGTGCCCATTCCAAGGGTTTTAGAATCTCCCTGACAGGAAACCAGGACAAAGACAAGACAAATTCTTTATTTTACAACACCAAGTTTTTAAGAAAATGGTAGCTCTTGAGATACCTACTAGTTTTTTTTTTTTTAATTTGAAAATGTACCATGGAAAGCTGAGGTGACTGAAAAGTATTAAAGATTGGAAGATTTAAGAGCAAAACTGATTTACTGATCTCTGTATCAACTTGGTATTTTAACTATTTAGACTTTATATAGCTATTTAAATCTTAATGTATCATGCAGTTAGAATTTTATATCTGAATTTATGCATAAATATATTGCTCCTGGTAAAAAGGAGACAGGAATTTACATGGAAAGATGAGCTAGTAGAATAACATAGAACTCTTTTCAGTTTTTATTACCTTAGGTTGTCAAAATAAATTACCTTAAAAACTTTTTTTCTGGGCTATACGTTGCTTCATTGGACTCATTTTTTTCTTCTTTTTTTTTTTTTTTAAAGTTTTTTTTTATTTACTTGAGAGAGAGAGAGAGAGAGAGAGGCAGAGGGAGAAGCAGGCTTCCCACAGAGCAGGGAGCCCGATGTGGGACTCGATCCCAGGACCTGGGATCATGACCTGAGCCGAAGGCAGACGCTTAACTATCTGAACCACCCAGGCACCCTCATTTTTTTCTTCTAATAGCAAGTTATTTCACAGTGTATCCACTTTCTCCAAGGAAGTGCTTACTTACATGTTTCTCTTACAGATTGATTATACCGGAACAGACCCTTCTAGTCCCTGCAATAAATGTTTGTCTCCGAATGCGACACCTTGTATTTGTACCATTAACTTCACACTGGAACAGTCATTTGAGGTCTGTATTCCCAATGTGTTAGAAAAGCCCTGCTTTTAAAAATATTTATATTTTATTAAAATTTTTTTACCACTTATTTCATTTTTGTAGAGAAGTCCATATCCTTTGAGGAAGATTGTTTTGTTCGACTATTGCATTATGCTGTCTGGTAATTAAATACATGTATCTATTTAAATAGTTTAGTACTTTATAAACTAAATTTAAAACATTTTATCTTTTCACTGGAAAATTTTATTACTGTACAAATCAGTGTATCATTTATATCAAATAAGTTTGCTTACTTTTAATACTAAAGTAAGTTTACTTTGGAAATTTACTAAGTCATTCATTATTTAATTGTATTATTTTCTGTTAGATATGAATTAATCATAAATGCAAACACGTAATGGAAACTTATTGATCTTTTATGTCTTGATAAGCAATTAGAACACTACTCTGTGTGTGTGTGTGTAGTTGTGTATCTTTTGCATTCATAACTGTTACTGGAAATTGAGCAGATGCTGAAGTACATAAAGATTCAGGATAGGCATGACAAGACCAGTTTGTGCTTTCCTTTACCTAAAAATTGAGCTTAAAAATTGTTTTATTCTTCAGGAAGCAAAACTACTGTAATACTTGTGAACTTTTTAGATTTTTGTACACTTAAAATTTTCTTAAAGGCCTGGTACACTTCTGTAGTCCCCGGTAGGTAGTTGCCATCTAGTGGTTGTAGATGCTCTTGCCCTGAAATAAAGGATAATAACACTCTTAAAAAATGTGAAAATAAATTTGGGAGAAGACAGGAATTTACTTTACTTTGTTTCAGCAGAAATAACATATAAGTTAAAAACATTAAAAATTCAGATTTTTTCACTGTGATGAAGAAAACTGTAAAGATGGATGCATTAAGTTCTGCTTTTGTCTGAACAGGCAGAATTGAGATAAAACAGACTTGTAATTATTAGAAAGCTTCAGTAGTTTCCTTCCCCATCCAAAAACATCTATTTCGGAACTTCTCTTTCTGAAAAGCCCATTCTTTTATGGGCTTTGTGTTCCTTCACAAGTCCAAACTTTGCACTGGACTAACAGCCTTTTCAAAGTTATTTTGTCTTCAGTATTCATTGAAAGGATTTCTTTTTCAGTTTATCAGTTGAATTTACTGTACTGGTTCTTAATTGAGATGATCTTTTTTTAAAGCATATTCTTTGTTTCTGTGATATTTTTGATAACCAAAAACAGTTTTTATGTAAACATTTTTTTTATATGGAATGGGAAAGTTTGCATAATTTGACCTTTGAAAATCAAATTTTAAATAAGTAATTGTGTATGTGAAAATAGCAAATCAAATAAAGCCTACTTAAAATGTTTTTTTTTTTTATTGAGTTATTTTTGATTATAGACTATAGAGGTAGCAACCAGAAAGGAGAAAATAGCTTAATGTTTTTGGTACCTCTTAAAACCCTAAGTCATTCAAGATGGTTTTGTGGTGCCTTGTAAATAATTGTAGTGTATGTAGGTCACCCTTCTTTCCCAAGTCATTCCAAATTGGCTCCTCCAACTATATTGAAGTATTTTTCTTGGTTGTTATGTATTGATTCATTATCTTAGATACTTTACTAATTATTAATTTATTAATTAATTAATATTATATAGTATCCTGTTGAGAAATGTATTATGTCTCAGTTCAAGTTCAGAATTTACTTGGGCAATAAATGAAAGATTGACCATTATCCCTTTGAAAAGTTGACTGGGTGGAGACCAATCTGAATTGGAGAAAATTTGAAGTTGAAAGTAGGATAGGCCTTGAGGGCTTTTTTTTTCATGCAAATAGTACTTCTTTGAAGTCTTTAAGGATATTTCAAAGTTTATTCTTGAATTTTTGTGACATACCTTCTTTAACCTTATTTACAGTTTGTAGTGTTTTAGGTTGTTAAGAATTGGTGGGATTCACTCCAGGACTTGTTTTTAGTTATCACAAATTCTAAACTAGTAAAGTCCAAATGACATAGCTTTTATGTATGCATGAAACAAGTTTATACACAGTAGTTTCTTATGAAAATTGTTTCCCTTCTCTTTCTCTAGGGCAATGTGTTTATGTATTATGGACTGTCTAATTTCTATCAAAACCATCGTCGTTATGTGAAATCTCGAGATGATAGTCAGCTAAATGGAGATTCTAGTGCTTTACTTGTAAGTAAAATGATGGGAATATGAAAATATGGTAGATATAAATAAGAATATGTGGTAATAGCTTAGTTAGAAATGTTAAATTTAATAATGTTAGGAGAAAATTAAAGTGTTACTTGTTATTTGTAGTTTGTTTAGTGAGGGTTTTTATTTTTTTATTATTTTTTAAAGATTTTATTTTTTTATTTGACAGAGCAAGAGAGCACAAGCAGGGGAAGCAGCAGAGGGAGAGGGAGAAGCAGGCTCCCTTCTTTTTTTTTTCCTTCAAGATTTTATTTATTTGAGAGAGAGAGCTCGAGAGATTGAGTAAGAGAGCACAAGCTGAGGGAGAAGGAGAAGTAGGCTCCCCGCTGAGCAGGGAGCCTGATGTGGGGCTTGATCCCAGGGCCCCGGGATCATGGCCTGAGCCGAAGGCAGATGCTTAACTGACTGAGCCACCCAGGTGCCCCAAAACAAGCTTCCCTTCTGATGCCCAGCCTGGTTTGGGTTAGAGGATCTTAGTTTCCTGACTATTGTTCAACTTTTCATAGTAATGGTTGGTGCCCAAGTATTTTATGTTATTGCTGCCAATGCAGCAAACCTTCAAGAGTTCCGGAGCTACTTAGGATTTCTAGAAACAGTGAATCTCTTAGAATGCCATTTAGGACTATATTGTGACCAGAATGTTCCTGGTAAGCATGTATCTGCTCTAGGTTATCTTTACTGGTTTTATTGCTAGTTCCTAATATTTGGGATCTCAAGAAATAACAAGTCTATTTAAAGATTCTGGTCGGGTCTGCAATATTTTGCAATACTATGTGAGGTTTTAGGACTCAAATCCAGAGAAGGTGATGTTCTGTGAGACACACCAAGTTCTTAGATCTTTCTGAATTTGTTGAGTGGGATTATAGATTGGGCGTGTTTAGAGTTGTTCTACAATTCTTTTATTTAGATACACCCTCTCTTTGCTAAGAGCAAAAGAAGCTGAGATTGAGTCTTTTCCTACAGGTTGCAAGCAAAAAGCTTTTAGCCTAGACTAGAAATTGATGAATTTGTTTCTGTAAAGCCCAGACAGTAAATATCTTTGGTTTTGCAGGTCATATGGTCTCTGACACAGCTACTCCCCTCTGCCATTGTAGAATGAAAGTAACCCGTAGACAATACTTATCATGAATGGGTGTACTGTTCCAATAAAATTTTATTTATAAAAACAGGTGGTGGGCTGGATTTGGCCTGTAGTCTGTTATTTATTGATTCCTGAGCTAGACCAAAATACACGATTTTAAGACCAGGTGGCTTTCAAAAATTTTAAAGATTTTAAGAATGGACAGATTGAAGTCTAAGTTAACTTAAAACATTGTGTGTAAGGTCTTTCACAATCTGCTATCAACCTACCACTCCCTACTTCATTGTTTCCAACTCTTATCTTTAATGTACCTTTGGTTTGGCTGCTTTGGGTGATGTGTGCTTCTCCCTAACCATTTCTGGGACCAAGTAGTCTGCCGTCTTGGCATTCACATTTTATTTGCCGAGGATGCTTGTTTAAGTCTTGCCCTGGAGGTCCTCTCACCTGGAGGCCTACTATCGTCTATAGTGTCCTTGGATACAAAATAACTTCTCTACATATTTAGTTCATTCATACCCTATCCCAAGTCACTTTTCACCTAGCTTAACAGACTCTCCCCACATCATGCATTCCCAACTCTCTCCACATTATCTGCCCTGGCCCTACTCTCAGGCCATTTTCTACATAGTTGCTATAGTGATCTTTTATTTTAATTTAATTTAATTTAATTTATTTATTTGAGAGAGAGTGAGTGAGCAAGAGAGAGTACAAGCTGGAGGAGGGGCAGAGCTGGAGAGGGAGAAGCAGGCTCCCAGCTGAGCAGAGGGCCCAGTGCGGGGCTCGGTCCCAGGACCCTGGGGTCATGACCTGAGCCAAAGGCAAGATCCTCAACCAACTGAGCCACCCAGGTGCCCCTATAGTGATCTTTTAAAAAATGTAAATACCACTTAAATAATCTTTCAGTGGTCTCCTAGCATTTGAAGTAAAATCTCAGGATGATCTGAACTATGCATAATTCTCCAGTGTTATCATATGTCATTCTGCTTGTTCCCATACTCTAACTACATTCTAATTTTACCTTCTCATAAATAACAAGTTCTTTCTCAGTGGCATGTATTATTCTCTCTGCTTAAAACCCTCTTCTGCCTGCTTGTTACCTATTCTTTTTTAGGTCTTAACTTATGTGATACTACCTCCAGAACAAAGTTTTCCTTATCATAGATTCTCAAGTAATTTATTTCGCCATCCCCCATTAATTACTTGGCATACCACTTTCATACACTTACTGCAATTTGCAATTATATATTTACTTATTTGTCTTCTGTTTTCCCGATTATACTGTAAGCTCATGAGGGCAAGGAGCATTTTAATCACCATATACCAAGCACCTTGCCAGTGCTTAGCACATGGAAGGCATTTAATAAATACATGTTGGATGAATATAGACACCTTCATCATGGGTCTTATTTCATATAATGGTTATATATGGATCTCTTTCCTCTATTATACTGTGAGCTGCTTAAAAGCAGGGACTTATTTATTTTTTCTGTGTCTAGCACCTTGCAGGATACATGGTTTATTAGGTACTCAATAAACGGCTTTCCTAAACCAGTTACTGAAAAGTATCTAGCATTGCTTAGTTCAGGGATCTCTGGTGCATAGGTAATAAATAATATTTTCCTTTCTTGTAAAACTTCCTGAAGAATCCAGTGGCTAGAATATATTTGCCCTACTGAGAGTTTATTTATATTTAAAACCTCACCCTCCCTCCTTCTTTCCTTTGACACAGAACCATGGGATTAACCCAGAATTACACAATTTGAGATTATCTAGTTGAACATGTTCATTTTCTAAGTGAAGCCCAGGTAAATTAAGGGACTTGCCCAAAGTTACATAGTACATAGGTGGAACTAGAGCCTCCAGTCTACTTTCAGTTGAAGATTCCTTTTATTATGTCACAACTGGATTGACAATAGACTGCTTCTTAATTTTTCTTGAGCAGAAAACTCTTCGTGATATGATTTTTGTGTTGATATGAAAATTTTTAAAAAGTCAATTTGATATATGCCTATATGACAAAATATTTGCAAGGAAGGGTTACATAAAAAGGTAATACGGTGACGTTAAGAAATAATTTGAGTATTTAAAGGTGGTGTTCTAGTCTTTACAATACAGACTTATTCTGTATGCACTGCAAGTGAGACACATACAGGGATTGAATTTTTAATCAGTAATTATGGCTAGCTCATAGTTCTCCCAGGGGCCTGTGGATAATTTTTCTCTTCTTTTCCTTCTAAACATTAGAATCCCAGTAAGGAATGTGAGCCTTATCGAAGAAATGAAGACAAACCAATTGCTCCTTGTGGAGCTATTGCCAACAGCATGTTTAATGGTACGATGCAGATATAAACAAAGATACAGATTATAAACATAAATTGGAAAATTTGTACAACTTATTGATATTAATGTGATAGTCTGATAAACATGAATGAAGTTGAGAAATTGAGCAACTTTATTTATTTATTTATTTTGTTTTTAAAGATTATTTATTTGAGAGAGAGTGTGCGCAAGTACGTGTGCATATGCAAGTGGGGGGAGGGGCAGAGGGAGAGAATCTTCAGGCAGACTCCATGCTTGGCGCAGAGCCCAGCTCCACATGGGGCTCCATCTCACGACCCATGAGATCATGACCTGAGACAAAACCAGGAGTCGGATGCTTACCTGACTGAGCCACTCAGGTGCCCCGAGCAACTTTAAAATAAATATATCAATTAGTTATTTAATGGGATGTTATAATGTTTTGTGACTTTTTTTTGAGAATTCTTATATTTTAAGAATGAATCTCTCTCTGGGAAGAAGAAGCAGAGACATTCTGCTAGCCTTCATATTTCATATATGATAAAATAAAAGCCAGGCTGCCTTTTCCACCAACTCTGAATGTTTATACCAGTACTAAGAAGCTATAGTTGATCATTTAAAGCAGCACTGTCTGATATTCATAAAATGTAAATCATCAATGTGAGACATGTATGTATGTTAACATTTTCTAATAGTCACATTAAAAACAAAAGCAAGTGAAATTAATTTTAAATAATATATTTTATTGAACCCAAATACTACCTTTTACCTATAAATGATATTCAGTATATAAAATTTATGAATAAGATATTTTGTGTCCTATTTTTTTGTATTGAGTTTTTTATTTCTGAAATATATACTTACAAAACATATTCATTTAGACCAGCCATAATTTCAGTGGCTCTGTAGCCATGTAGCTAGTGGCTACCATATTGGACAGTACAGATAGAGAAATGCATAAGCCAGAAACTATTTAGGAACGTGTTTTTTAAAGGAAAGGAGGAGAAGCAGATTTACCCTGCAAATTATTTTATTTGGGTTAATATTAAAACATTTGACCTTACTACATATCAGTTAGCCATGTAGGAGAAGTGATCTCTAACTGTATTGAGGAAAGAGAAGTCCATCTAGGATTATAAAGTTACCATAGATAATTCACATATAAGTAAATCAAGAGCAAATGTACATTATATGCCTGCCTACTGTGTTACAGACACTTTTGGGAGCAGATACAAGATCCTTATTTCTCACAGAGTACAGTAGGTGCTATGGATTTTGAGTATTTTACAGTATCTTCTTTTTTCTATTTAGATACATTAGAATTGTTTCTTGTTGGCAATGAATCTTATCCTACACCTATTCCTTTGAAAAAGAAAGGTATTGCTTGGTGGACAGATAAAAATGTGAAATTCCGGAATCCCCCTGGAGGAGAAAGTCTAAAAGAAAGATTCAAAGGTAAAATTTACTAATATTTCTTTAAAATGTGATATAAGCTAGGAGTTTTAATGAGGTACCTAAAATTTTTGATCTTTAGAATCTTAAAAATGTTTATACTTTTTTAAAAAACAACTTTTCTTAACTTCATACTGATTTAGGTAAAATATGTTGTATGTTCTAATGTGCTGAAATTCTAAAGGAAATGTATATGTACTTCTAATCTTGAATTTTTCTAGTATTTTCTTATAGGCATTTCAGCCATTGCCTTTTTTTTTTTAAAGATTTTATTTATTTATTTGACAGAGAGATAGAAAGAGGGCACAAGCAGGCAGAATGGCAAATAGAGGAAGAGGGAGAAGCAGGCTCTCCGCGGAGCAGGGAGCCCGATGTGGGGCTCGATCCTAGGACCCTGGGATCATGACATGAGCCGAAGGCAGCCGCTTAACTGACTGAGCCATCCAGGCGCCCCTCAGCCATTACCTTTTAAAACTGCAGGCAAGGGACGCTTGGGTGGCTCAGTCGGTTAAGCGGCTGCCTTCGGCCCGGGTCATGATCCCGGGGTCCTGGGATCAAGTCCCACATTGGGCTCCTTGCTCAGCAGGGAGTCTGCTTCTCCCTCTCTCTCCCTCTGCTTGTGCTCTCTCTGTCAAATAAATAAAATCTTAAAAAAAATAAATTAATTAAATAAATAAAACTGCAGGCAAATTTCTTTTAAACAGACCCAATTTTTTATTGTAGTTATTAATTAATATTTATTTTTGATTCTGTGCCTCAGTTTCACAGTGCTGCTTTTTGGTATATACTCAAGGGCATACTTTTAGTATTTTTCTAATGGAGATAGTCATCAAATCTTTGTAGTTATTTGTTGTTACATGAGGAATTGGTTTGTCTCTAAATTTTAAGACTTTCTTAGAATATATTTATACCTTTGAAAATACGAAAAATACTCAGATTGTGTATTGTATATTTTTGTTTTATTTGAGTGAATTTTCAGTGAAACTCTTAATAGAATTGAATGTTTTGTTCCCTCCCCTCACTCCCCTTTTTTTTAAGGTACAACAAAGCCAGTAAACTGGGTTAAACCAGTGTACATGCTGGATTCTGAACCAGATAATAATGGGTTCATAAATGAGGATTTTATTGTTTGGATGCGTACTGCAGCATTACCTACTTTTCGTAAGTTGTATCGTCTTATAGAGCGGAAAAGTGATTTACATCCAACATTACCAGCTGGACGATACTATTTGAATATCACGTACAGTATCCTTTTTTGGCCATGTGCACAGATTCATAGAATTTGAAAGGAGTATAGTTCAGCCTTATCTAAGTTATGTGAGATGATAACTCTGTTTTAGTTTTGATCTCTGCATTTTTATAAGAGTATGTGTGTATATATGAGAAAGTATCTTTTCATTTTTATCTTCCAGAAGTCTTAAATTTTGATATAGTTTGTACTAGGATTCAAGCATATTATTTGGTAACATTATTTAAGATGCTGGTTTTCAGTTTATTATTAAGCTAAATATTTCTACAATGGAGATTGTAATTGAGCTTAATTCAAAGGCCAGTGAGCATAACTGATGCCAAATAAGCATTGGTGGTAGTGGGCTGTTTTAATATATATTTTTAGATATTAAAAATCAGTGGATGTTAGTTATTATCAACATAATTGTTTATAACTATTGTTCCGTTCATAGTGCCAAAACATTTTTATCATTAGCTGTATTATTCCACATTAATAATTCAGGTGTACTTTTCAGTGCTTATTAATATCATTTATTTCATTCTAATTATGTGTTAACATTGTACTAAGTACTGTCCGTGCATTGTTTTATTTAACTGAAGCATTATGAGATGGGTTATCATCTCCATGTCATAGATAAGAATACAGGAACATAGAGCATTTAAGTAACTTACCCAAGGTTGTACAGGTAATAAGTAGAAGAGTTGGGGTTCATAATCAAGCTATTGACTCCAAAGGCCATGACTTTACTGTCAGCCACGAAACTACTACAGGTTGTATCCCTAGCTACTTAACTCAAGTAGTCAGACCAGGCCACATTGGCCTGGATACAGTCTTTCTTAGCTGGAAATATTGGACACTACCTTTTATTCTAAACACAGTCCTTATATTTTTTAATCTGTACCCCACTGCTTACATATATCATGAATGAAAAGTTTCTCAAATATTAGCATTTGAATGTTTGCTAATGATCTTTGCATTTTTGAGTTTTCATAATCCAAATTAGCCATAAGTGTATAGTTTCAGTTTTATAATGCATTAGCAAATTGTTAAATTAATAGACCTAATTTCAAAAGAAATGTCTTTTTGGATCTTTAGTCTCTTGATTTTGCACCCGAGTATGCAACTGAATAAGACCTGATGGTGACAGGCTAAAAGTAGCCAAGTTTTGGAACCTAGGCCCGCATGGGAGCAGTTTTACACAGACAGATCCACTTGAAGTCCTGATAGAAAACATTATCCTGAGGCTATTGCCAAAGTAGAAGGCAACTCTATCACAGTTAGCATCCAGAAGATCTAGTAAGGTCTAAGGGCATATACAAGCCTGTAGAGTATAATAAAGGGAAGTCTTTGGAGTACTCAGTACTTTGTCTTAGTTAACAGACTATTTGCATCCCAGGCATTGAGAAGAGAACTGTCAGGAGGAATGTAGGCTCTCAAAGATTGATGAGACTGGAATTTTGGTCTGCAAAGCATCAAGGGTAATTACAAAAATTACATATAAGGTGGGAACCTAGATATTAGAATTAAGACAGAAGCCCATTTTGGGGGTTGGGATACAGAGAGAGGCTAGATGGGTGATTTGATACTTTGTCCCCCAGAGTGTTTTATTAGTTAGAACTTTTATTATAGTCATTCCTGCTTCAGGTTAGGAATGATTTAAGAAACTGGCAGAGCCTGCTGTTTGGAGTAATAGGGTTCATCTGTGGGGTTGGAAAATTGCAGAAGCTAGAGAAACAGATGGGGCCTAAACTTGATTCAGAAGATGCTTTTGAAAAGGTTGTAAACCTTTCATGTAGGTTTACAAACCTTTCAGAACTAAATGTTCTGTCTTCTCTGCCCTAATTCTCACCAAAATCTTAGAATTGGTCCATGTAGATAGTTTATCCAGTATACTGGTGTCCCATTTCTTTAATCTCTTTAACAGTCCACTCTTCACTTCTACTCTGTTTCAGCCATCAGCTCTGTGTCACACCATGAGTTTTGTCATTGCTCCAAATCAGCAAGTTAAAACTTCAGTATCATACTCTTTGACCTTGTGCTCAGAGTCCTCTCATATTCTCATAATTACTCTCTTGTTCATGCTCTTTGAGCCCACAGAGACCTCGAGTCTCTCCATTCTTCCTTTTTCTTCTGGTATGTCAATCTCCTCTTCCTTTATGGGTTTTATTGCTGTTCACCTGAAATACTTGTTTCACATTACATTTCTTTCCGGCCTTTTGCCCCTACTGTGTAATGAGAATAAAAGTACCTGAGAAACCATATAACCGTTAATTTGAATTTGGTTGTTTTTACTTGTAAACTATATGGTTTTTACTACTAATGTTTAACTTGCTAAATCAGTGCTTCAAGATAATATATAGTTATTTTGTGATTCAGAAAACGTGAGTAAGATGCCTATTATTATAGAATTATACCAGTGAATTACAAGCAATTAAATGCCAGATTTTTAAGTTGTATTTTAAAAATCGACTAGACATGGAAAAGTCTTCCTATACACTCTTCAGATTACCCTGTACATTCCTTTGATGGACGAAAACGGATGATCTTGAGCACTATTTCATGGATGGGAGGAAAAAATCCATTTTTGGGGATTGCTTACATCGCTATTGGATCCATCTCCTTTCTTCTGGGAGTTGTACTGCTAGTAATTAATCATAAATATAGAAACAGTAGTAATACTGCTGACATTACCATTTAATTTTATATTCTGAAAACAAATTTACTGCATGTGCATCAAGGCCAGTCCTATTCAACCTAGCTTTCGAATGCCAATGTCTGGTTAGTATGTCATTTTTGAAGTTGGCACATAACTTTTTTTTAAAAAAAGCAGTTTTTGTCCTTTGCTTCTTTATGGATGTCTTATGGAAATATATGACGGGTATGAAACAAATTATATTGATCATATCAACACTGTAACTGCTGAAATGGCATTCTACTGTTTGCTTTTTGTTGGGTCAGGCCATATGATGCATAGAGCCTCTTTCCTGTGAAATGCATCTACTGCTTAAATGTTTATGCTGTGTTGATAATATTATATTGACATATGATGCTGTATACGTGTGCCTGTTGTGAAGAAAGGGATTACAAGATGTATGAACATAATGACTTGCTAACCTTGCAGGATTCAGAGTTACAAAACGATGAAGAAAGACCAAATTAAATAAAACACTTCATCATTTTCATGTGTCATGTGTAAAGACTTAAAGTACCATCTTTGTTGAGGTGGTTCATGTATTCAGTTTATCCAGTACAGTTCTTTGTCAGGTTTAGCTTTGATTTCAAAGGACAAGGACATGCTTATCCTTGTTTAGTGTAGGAATTAATGGTCATGTCTGAAGAGGTGAGGTGGGTCTCAGGTGGGAGAATTTAAAATTCCTTTTTCCATTTGGTTAAGATGTTGCAGTCAGGAACCCCAACTCACTTGATATGTTTTTACATGTGATCATTTCCCTTGAAGCTTATACTTCGTAAGAGATACAAGAATATAGGTGAGATGGGAAAACTTGGCAGTCATCTTCTGCCTCAACTATAAACCAGATGTAAATGTTCAAAGGAGACTGTTTTCATTCTTGTGGTATTTAACATTCAGAAATTTGCTTCAGCATTGGAAATACCTCAAGCTGTTTTTATTTTGCAGGTAAGTTTTGATTTAAGTACTAGTGTTATATTGCGGAAATTTTAGAAAACAGTAACCTTCATTTCTTCTATATTCATTCAATTTTTGTATATAGGTCAAATGTGGATGTGTATGCACATTCTCTTTACTTAAGGTACCAATTATTTTGGTTGGTTTTTCCTAAAACATACTTTAAAAATAAATTCTTTAAATTTCCTAATTAAATTCTGGAGATTTTACAGTATGCACGTGATAAATTATAATATATATATGGTTGAATTTATTTTATTTTCTATTAACTGGAATTATTTTAATATTCCTTATTGAATAAATGCTGTAATTTGTTTGCTATGGAACTTACTCTTGAATGTAAACTTATTTTTTCACATGCATGAAAATGTATGTCTTAATCAGAGATGGCTTAATTGCATTGAAATTGCCTTTTTTTTTTTTTTACTAAAATAACTCATATGTTTGTATAGAAGAATAACTGTTTATTCAGAGTTTGTAATGACTTCCTTCAGTTATATTTTAAAGCAAAAGGTCTGGGTAATGTATCAGTTTTGATTAATATATGTTTTTTAAAAAAAACAAAAATAATGTAATGGTTAATAGAAATGTGCCACACTTCATAAGTTTTGTATAACATGAAATTCAGTTAAAAGAACTTGTAGTTCATAATGACTTTTAACTGGTAGAATATTACTTGCATGAGGTACTTACTGTATGATTATCCTGAAGTTTCTGAGTGCATAGGGTATTCTTTGTCTAAAAATATCCTTTGTTTTGTCAGTCCTTCGGAATATTGTTATTGATTCTGATAATTGACCCTCTTGCACATGGCAGTTTATTTTCTGGGATACGTCATTGGGGGAAAAGGTTTTTGCCAGTCTTTTCAAGTTTATGTTGTTTAAGGAGGACTGCCATCCTGCATCTCTTTTTCTGATTAGGCGACCAAAGGTGCTACTAAAGAAAAATTGAAGACCTTTCCAACACTTTCTCATCTGTGGTGAAGACAGAATCTTAAAATATATTTGGAGTTTTATCTATTTTACAAGTTCATTGATGGCCTAATTCCCTTCTGGTCTCCTGCCATTTGAGCTCTGAGGGATTCCTGTTACTAATTATGAAGAATGTGGAACATTCAGATGGCCTATGTGAAGCATGGTGGGGGAGGAAAACATTTCTTTCTTATGGGTTTTATGCTCATCTTTTGGAAATATTGATGTCATATTCAACTTTCAGAGAATCATATTGCATTTAAGTTAAGTAGAAGGCGTTGAAGAATGCATTGACTTACAGGAAGTATTTTGATATATGAAGTTTCCCAATTGAAGGAATTATTTAATAAGTAAAAGCTAAGAAATTTCATTGAAATCATAAGGCAGTTAAAAATAAAATGGGAAAAATAACTGTACTACCTAATGGGGAATTATTCACGAGGAGAGTCAAGTGAATATTTTTGTTTATTAGTTAGTAACAGTTTATTTGTAACCTTGATTATATTTAAAGATAATGTTCTGCTAGTATGTTCTGTATTAATAAAAATGAACAAAATTAATTTTGCTATGTTCAAGTGTCTTGCTAAAATAATAATGCCTCAGTGTTTTTGCTAATGTTGAACACTAAATTTTAGCGCAAGGTCAATAAGTCCCAAATTTTAACATTTCCATGTCTAGATTTGATTGCCAATATGTGTATGTGTTAATCACATGGAAATCACATGATTTCCATGTCTAGATTTGATTGCCAATATGTGTATGTGTTAATCACTTTGACATTAACTGCAAGATTTGTCTGTATTACTGGGAAACATCTCTTACCAGGAGGTGGTCAGACTGTCACCTGAATTATAGGCTGATGGGCTAAATTTGGTATTAGATCAAGGAGATGTCTGGTAAACAGAAAAGAAAGAACTGGTAGAGAAGCAAGGATAATGAAAATAATGAGGAGGGCAGGGCATACAGGAAATGAAAAGCCAGACCAGGAAAGAGGAACCGCTGACTGTAGGGTTAATCAGTGCTGGTGAGCCTGCTCACCTCCTATCTTCATGGAAACACTGCCTTAGAATTATTGTATGGTCCTTTGTTGGTTAAGATGAAAAGTTTTGTTCTTTGTGAACATGGTTATTTTGAGGGGAAGGTGGAGGGAGTAAGGAAGTGCTGTTCCAAGAAGACATTTGATGCATAAATGTTTGTTGTAGAGTTTGGATGATCTAGTCAAGTGTTTTAGAGCTTTTTTTTTCTTTAGCCCATGCCCCATTTAATAAATATAAATCATATTTCCCCTATGTCATTTGAAATTTCAAAATAAATATGTCTAAAATCAAATCAGACCATGGTGACCTTATTTGATTTTATCTATTTGTAAATATATAAATTTACATCTTATCAAAGTAACGAGTATACACACTTAAAAAAAAAATCTCCCTGTCCCAACTTTATTTTTTTTTAAGATTTTATTTATCCATTTGTCAGAGAGAGAGAGAGAGCGAGAGCGCGAGCACACAAGTAGATGGAGTGGCAGGCAGAGGAAGAAGCAGGCTCCCCGTCGGGCAAGGAGCCCGATGGTGGGGCTGGATCTCAGGACCCTGGGATCATGACCCGAGCCGAAGGCAGACACTCAACTGACTGAGCCACCCAGGCATCCCTCCCTGTCCCAACTTTAACTTTCAGAGATAATTACTTTTAGTCCAAAAGTTTCTTTTGCTATTTGTTTTAGTATATCTAAATAATAAAATAATATGACTATTCTACTATTGCTTGATTTAACAGTTTTAGGCATTATTATCTTGATAGTGTTACCTGAGGATTTAGCTCTTTAACACACCTACCTCCTTTTCTCCCATTATGTTATTATAGTTATATTTAGTAAATACAGTAGTTATTGTTTAATTATGACTATAGAACAAAGCAATGCACCATAATACATTTTGCATCATTTTATTTTTCGTAGAATTAGTAATTGCTTCACTTTTAACACATAACTTTCTGGAAACCTATCTTAAACTTTCTTCAATTTCTCTGTCAGGTCCATCAGGTTCTCATCAATAGTTTTGAAGGGTTTTTGTCCCCAAATATCAGATAATCTGATTCCCTGTTTTTACTAGGGCAGTCTATTTTGTATTTGTCTTTCTAGGCCAATCTGTACTGTGGTTCTCTCGGCCAGTTACACAGCCATTATCCCATGACCTCCTCTTGTCACCCTTCTGTATTGGATCTGTTTCCTGGTTTATTCTCTAGTTTACTGGAGCACTTCCTAAAGCACTTAAAGCTTCCTAAGAGGTGGTATATGAGAGGCCAGTTCTCTGAGTCCTTACATGTCTAAAATGCCTTTATTCTGTTCTCACAATTTCATTGGTAGTTTGACTACCTATACAAATAAAATAATTTTCCCTCAGGGTTTTGAAGCTATTGCTCCACCCTCTTCTAGGTTTCATTGTTACTTTTGAGAAATCGGATTCTGTCCTAATCAGATCTTGGACCTCCTAGACTGATGCTTAATTTTCTTCTCTTTTTCTCCAGTTGTTTAGACACTATTGTGTTTGTGCTTTCTAGAAGATTTCTTCATTTTATCTTCCAACATTATCTTCTGTTGAATTTTTTGTATGTTTAAAAGGTATTCTAATTTCTAAACCTTTTATTTCTATTCTGTTTCTGAAATATAGTCATCTTAGTTCACAGATAAAATATTTTTTTTCTGAGGATATGTATGCTTTTCTTTCCTACTCTGTTAGCATCGATTTTTGTTGTTGCTATTTTAAATTTTAGGTTTTTTTTCTCTTGTTCACGTAGGTGACTTTCTTTGTATTTCTGGCTAGTCTTGACAATCTGTCATATATGAATGGCCCCCCAAAAAACTAATTGAAAGCTTTTTGTGGCCAGTGCTTGACAAGTGATAGGCTTCACTAGTACAGTGCTACTCAGAAATGCCACTCAGCGAATTATTTGTTCCTGTTCATGATAAAAAGGTTAGACAAGTAATAAAGAGTTGGCAGGTCAACAACTGTAGGTGGACCAATTTTTAGAAGTACTGCATTAGAGAATGATTGTCATGGAGCCAGTCATTTGGCTGAAGGCCTTTTCTTGGGGCTGTTCAGTTTCTCTAGGGAATTCTCTGGTCTTCTGCAGTAGGAAGGGGTCAAGGAGGGTCTGCTTGTCCCCTGCCTTTAACTGCTTCTGCCTTGTCCTCCACCTCACCTTCTGTTTTCCACTTAATGCATATTTCCGTATACCTGTCCCTCTGCATATCCCTTCTACCTGGTTGTCTTCCATTACTTTCTCCAGATAAAAGTAGAGACAGTGATGGAGGTGAGAGATTGTCTTTGTTTGGCTGAGAGGGATAGGACAGAGGTCTTTGGATCTGAGCATTCTGTTGTATATAATTTTCAGCTAGTCATTTTCAGGCCTATTCCTTCTTGCTGTAACTTTGATGTCCAAGTCTGAGCTTCTCTTGGGTGTGGACCAATGAGCATGCTTCTCACTGGTGGCCCCCTTAGAGCCCCTCTGTCCTGCTCAGTCATATTTCATTTGCTGTTTTCTAGAAATCTGCAGAAATCACTT